AATGTAGTTAGTACATTATTAGCGTCGCTGCAGCTGCTCCCCAACACTGTCATTGGTTCAAGATTCACTTTATTGTTGACTAACTGTTTCCAGAAACAGCAGCTGTTGAGAGAAACTTCAGTTCATCAGTAGATGTGTTTCCTGCATGGGGCGTCCAGATCCTCTAGAGACTGGACCGGTCTGTGCTTGATTGAACCGGTCTGTTACTGAAGTCCTGAGGAAGCGGTTTGTGTGAGAGACCAACTCTGAAAGCCATTCACTTTCTTCACTTTCCATCTTTGCGATATGAAAGTGAATCAGAAACACAAGAGAATGATTTGCACAGCAGCAGATCTGAAAGTGAATCATATCACAGGACGAGCTAAACTCTGAACTACAGACATACTCACAGTTTCTACTTTAGCAAACGAGTCTGCTGAATGAAAGAGCTGATAGAAAAGCTTGACGATACTGATGTTCTGCATAATCATGATAAATCTTTATTACAGTTAAACTCTGTGGACCCGGATACGGGTCCAAAATCGTGTTAATGTTTATGCTTCATTTACATAGCCTTCCTTATATGGTATCAGCCCATATATATACTCTATAATACCTTTTTAGATTAGGATCTCTTATTTCAAACAAGACAATTTTCGCGTTTCTGCGTGCTTCCATTGGTTATATATGCGTTTTGTCCAGATTGCGCAATAGGCGTCTGGAAAACAGGCACTCTCCATATCAAAAGCGCTCTCAGCCAGCGCGTCTGATGTTCTAGAGATCTGTGTTCGCTTGTGGACTGCAATTGGTCAGATTGCATGTCTCTCAACTCGGCGGCCATTTCAGAGCCGTGAAATTTGACACCTCTGGGTCACTAGAGGGGGGAGAGGGAACCTGTAGTTTTTGGAACCGTTGGGGGTTTTGGAACCTGTAGTTTTTGGAATGTTTTGAGGGCACGTTTCCCTCACTGAAAGGGATTATGCATTTCAGTGAATATACATGGATTATTACAGTGCTGTATGGATGAACTGATGTGTTTGTTTGACGCTCTGAATGCTACAGGTAGCTGCCGGTTAGCGAATTAGCTCCGCTTTGGTCCAGGGATGATGCAATGTTGTTGTCATGGAGAGATGCTTTGGATACAGGAGTGAGCTGATGAGAGGATGCTGTGAATCAGTATCCCAATACAGAATGCATATAAATGGAATGATATAAAGCTGGAGGATATGGATTCTATTTTAGATTGTGATAGACCAGATATATTTGATAATGTAGACAGTCTTGTGCATCCTGAAAGAATTAAACTGATTGTAGAATACACAGTGTGTGTGAAATTTGGTCCAATTCGCTTGTGCCATTTTGTATATTACTACTTAGAAAAACATAATTAAACGCAATTCAATTAAAGTGCTTATGGCACAGAGTACAATAGGATTGTGGGGTTAATGTGTTTTATAAAGCCTGTTTTTGCAAAGGAAACTCACAATGACACATTTAGATGCAGAAATAGACAATTTGACTCGCTTCACTTATAATGTAATAACTCCTGTGTAGAAGCTGTTATTTGAAAGGTACTTTTTGGCATCTAGTGGCATCAAACAAAGTAAATTGTAGAGAGCTGGGCCTAATAGAACCTGAATTACAGAATTTCAAAAAAGTAATTTGTTTTAAAACTCAAAGCGCCTGTTTTTTTGTTTATTGTAATATTTGAAAAATATAATGTTATTTATAAAGAATTACACTCTTTGTAGTTCAAAGGATTTTCTTTGCAATGAAACCATTTTTTTTTTTTTCTCTATTGTAAGTGTAGGGTAAACATTTGAATTTGAGTATGTCAAATTTAGGCAAAAATACCAAAAACACCCCAGAGAATAATGAATCTAGATTTAAACTGACAGAGTGTGTCTGCCTCCCGAACAATGTTAGGTAGGTTATTCCAGAGTTTGGGAGCCAAATAGGAAAAGGATCTGCCGCCCGCAGTTGATTTTGATATTCTATGTATTATCAAATTGCCAGAGTTTTGAGAACGCAGTGGACGTGGAGGACTATAATGCAATAAGAGCTCATTCAAATACTGAGGTGCTAAACCATTCAGGGCTTTATAAGTAATAAGCAAGATTTTAAAATCTATATGATGTTTAATAGGTAGCCAGTGCAGTGTTGACCAGAACCGGGCTAATATGGTCATACTTCCTGGTTCTAGTAAGAACTCTAGCTGCTGCATTTGGACCAGCTGGAGTTTATTAAGCGTGCAGAACAACCACCCAATAAAGCATTACAATAATCCAACCTTGAGGTCATGAACGTATGAATTAACATTTCTGCATTTAACATTAAGTGCATAGGTCGTAATTTAGATATATTTTTGAGATGGAAAAATGCAGTTTTACAAATGCTAGAAACGTGGCTTTCAAAAAGGAAAGATTGCTATCAAATAGCATACCTAGGTTTCTAACTGATGACGAAGAATTGACAGAGCAGCCATCAAGTCTTATTACATGGGGAGGTTTTAGGTCCGATAATTAACACCTGTTTTTTTTTCAGAAATTAGCAGTAAGAAATGACTTGTCATCCAGTTTTTTTTATATCGACTATGCATTCCGTTAGTTTTTCAAATTGATATGTTTCACCGGGCCGCAAAGAAATATAGAGCTGAGTATCATCAGCATAACAGTGAAGGCTAACACCGCGTTTCTTGATGATATCTCCCAGGGGTAACATGTAAAGCGTGAAAAGTAACGGCCCTAGTACTGAACCTTGAGGTACTCCATACTGCACTTGTGATCGATATGATACATCTTCATTCACTTCTAGGAATTGGTGGCGGTCGGATATGTACGATTTGAACCATGCAAATCCACTTCCACTAATGCCAACAAAGTTTTCTAGTCTATTCAAAAGAATGTTGTGGTCAATAGTGACGAATGCAGGCGCTAAGATCCAGTAGCTAATTAACACCTCTGTTTTTTCAGAATTTAGCAGTAAGAAATTACTCGTCATCCAGTTTTTTATATCGACTATGCATTCCGTTAGTTTTTCAAATTGATATGTTTCACCGGGCCGCAAAGAAATATAGAGCTGAGTATCATCAGCATAACAGTGAAGGCTAACACCGCGTTTCTTGATGATATCTCCCAGGGGTAACATGTAAAGCGTGAAAAGTAACGGCCCTAGTACTGAACCTTGAGGTACTCCATACTGCACTTGTGATCGATATGATACATCTTCATTCACTTCTAGGAATTGGTGGCGGTCGGATATGTACGATTTGAACCATGCAAATCCACTTCCACTAATGCCAACAAAGTTTTCTAGTCTATTCAAAAGAATGTTGTGGTCAATAGTGACGAATGCAGGCGCTAAGATCCAGTAGCACTAATAGAGCGATACAACCACGATCAGATGATAAGAGCAGGTCATTTGTAACTCTAATGAGAGCAGTCTCAGTACTATGGTACGGTCTAAATCCTGACTGGAAATCCTCAGATACCGTTTTTCTCTAAGGAGGAATATAATTGTGAGGATACCACCTTTTCTAGTATCTTGGACAGAAAAGGGAGATTCGAGATCAGTCTGTAATTAACAATTTCATTTCTAACACAATTACTAGAGATTTTCAAATGGCAGTTTTACGTTTGAATCTGTATCAGAGCTTCTCTGTCTTGTAGTTCCTTAAGGCCAATTCACACTGCACTGACAGAGATCACCAGATTATCCTACTTCACTTCTCAGACATTCATTGCACAACCTGACAAATTAATGCCGATCAATAGCGACAGACAAAGCAATGTGACTAAGTTTGTGCTGGGGGTGGAGCTGGTGGTACGTGGTGGCAGTGGTGGCGGTCTCTAGTTGGTGCTGGGGATGCTGCTGGTGGTACATGGCGGCAGTGGTGGCGGTGGCAAGCTGGTGCTGGGGGTGGAGCTGGTGGTATGTGGTGGCGGTGACAAGTTGGTGCTGGGGGTGGAGCTGCTTCTGGATGGCTGTGAACATCACAGATCAGGTGTTAATGGAGAAAGGAATGGAGCTTGAGTGTGAAATTGTGTTTCTGACAGCAGATTCAGAGCGTGTGAAGCCCACAAAGTATACTTCACTTTTTACACATACACTAGGGTTTGCGTACTGTGCATCATCAGAACAGTAAGTGTGTACTGTACATGCACCGCCTCTTTTTGTAACAGTGTGTACAATGTACTGCAGCTCGCACGTGTGCTCTGAACACCAACCTACTGAAGATGGAAAGTAACACAGAGGCTCGTGTTGATGAGTGCATGAGTGAGGGGTTAAAAGACAAACACAACTTTCACAACACATTTACCACTTTTGCAGAAAAAAGTGCAGACACTGAACCAGGATGACTCTCTATAGTGCACTATCAAATGGAGTATACTTTGAAAAGCTGTGTTCAACTGTGTACCGAGAGGTCGACGCTCTCTCTTTTTCCTCTTCGTCAATCAGGACAGCCAAGGCTGCTTGGTCAGCGGCCTCCCTGGCCTCCCTTTTGCTCGAGGAGCTCATAGGGAGAAAGGAGCGGGCCCCAATCTTCACTTGGACAGTGAATCTGAGAGACAGACACATGAACGGACACATGATCTTCATGAGTGCGCGTGTGTGTGTATCTGGTATTTATCACATTATGGGGGAACAAATATCCCCAACAAGGATAGTAATACCAGTACATTTTGCCCTTGTGGGCACATTTGTTTATGCCCCCATGAGGAAACAAGCTTATAAATCATACAAAAATGAAGTTTTGAAAATCTAAAAATTCAGAAAGTTTAGGGGTTCAGGTGTAGGGTGATAGAATATACAGTATAAAAACCTTTATGCCTATGGAATGTCCCCATAATACATGGAAACACAACGTGTGTGTACCTTTGTGCGTGGGGGGGCCCGTTGGCTCTGTGCTCTCAAAATGGACTCGCTCTCCATGAGCTCTTGCATAATGCTGGAGGTCAGAGAGGGAATGCCTTAAGATATTATCAAGCAGTCATGGCTGTGTCCTGCTGGTCCTTTAGAGCAGAGAGAAACTCTCCATTAGATCATGAGACACAGAAAATGAAGTGGATGGGAATAAATGTGCCGTAAGTCACACTAAATTGTAGCAAAATATTCTAGCAAATACAGTTTAATTTTCAAAATGTCTTATTTATTATGTTGTATCGTTGTTCAAATCATCCTGCAGGCCATATGTTTGACACCACTGATCTAGAGCTTCCCATTTCTCCTCTTTCTGTTCTTCTCTTACCTTCTCTGGCAGCGGCCCTCTTCTTTGCAGCTCTTTGAGAGCTGCCTCGGCCGCTGCCCATTTTACCATAACTTTATGGCCGACCTCCTCCGGGAACAGCTCCTCCCCCAGTTTAAACTGGCCCGTGAATCTAACAGAGAAAGAGGAAGGAGAAAGACATGAGTCCCTCCAGATCTAATGAAGATTGATATGATTGACACAAGAAAGCAGATGAATCACAAAATAAAATCAGGCGAATCATGTTTTCGGACAGTTTGTACATGGAAATACGGCACTGTGTCTTCAGCAAAGGGCTGATTTGGTTCTTGTAGCTGCAGCCGGACTGTCATAAAGCATTTTATTTGTAATGCGCTCTTCTTAAACCCAAAGCACATCAATTAAAACAAGAACAAAACAGTTAATTAAAAACAACCTTAAATGTGTCAACCAGCATTTAAAGCATTTCTGATGCTAGAAGGAAAGGCATTCCATAGCTTGAGGGCTTTGGATTAAGAAGCTCTTTCTCCCATGACATGAAGACTGATGAAGTAAAAGAGTGAGCAGAATGGAGAGAGTGTGGTGGACTGTAAGGACTAATAGGATCACAAAGATACACTGCTGCAGTTCCATGTTAAAATTAGAGCTTTAAAATCAATCCTAGCATTAACCGTGCAACTAACGTTTTCCTGAGGAGCAGTGTGAGAAAGCACACGAGCAGCAGAACTTTGAATATACTGTAGCCTGCTCCGAGAATTAGCTGCAAGGCCACAGAACAAGGCATTACAATAAGCCAACCTAGTCTTAACGAAGACATGTACAAGCCTTTCTGCATCAGCAAAAGTGAGAAGAGGTCCAAGTCGAGCAATGTTCCTAAGGTGATAGAATGCGTTTTATGTGCATCAAATGTTGATTGAGAATCAAAAATACCATGAAGTGGGAAATACCATGCTGGAATCAATCAAAACTAATCTGATCAGCCTTTTGAGTAACCACCACTGTACCAATCAGCATCACATCAGTTTTAGAGCCGTTCAGCCTCAGGAAGTTATTCTGCATCCAGTTCCTGACCTCATCTAGACACCTACTCAAAGTGATTAATGTGGAATGGACATCAGGGCTACTGGTGATGTAAATCTGAATGTCATCCGCATAGCAGTGCTACACAAGACCATATTTCCTTCTCATCTGCCTAAGTGGATACATATTTACACTAAATAAAATTGGGCCCAACAATGAACCCTGAGGAACTCCTTTGAACAGGCACGTATCAGATTTATGATTATCCAAGCTAACAAAATGGGCACAATCGGTTAAATAAGATTTAAACCAGCCGAACACCGTTCCGAAAAGACCCTGCCAATTATTCAGCCTGTCCAGCAGAACAGAATGGCATATGGTGTCAAAAGCAACACTAAGGTCTAACAAGACCAAGATACTGCGTGCACCAGCATCAACTGCAATAAGGAGATAATTTACAGCCCTCACTAAAGCAGTCTCAGTATTATGCACTCAGAAATTAGAAATCCCACAACCAGATGACTTCAGGGCTGGCGTAAAAGCAGCTATTTTTAATTCTGACATGTTGCTGGTTCTCAGAATCAAAGCATCAGTGTCTGGGTGATTGGTAGTGTGATTTAATATAGTGTCACTTCTAGTCACCTCTCATCTGGACAAATCACTTGAATGAATGCAAGTGAAGTCAGTCTTCTTTAGGGGTTTTTAGTGTGTCAGGAAAGGTAGAATAATAAGTATTGATTAATAATTTGAATTACACTTTATAACAAACAATACCTGAAAAATGAAAAGCAGCAGGTTTTTGCGATCAGGAGTGTGTGTACCTGAGAGGACACCGTATCCTCTCCTTGGCCTCCTTTCTGGAGCCCGTGCTCATTGGGGGAAATGGTGCCTCCCATCACAACCTGGTTTATAAACCTGAGAGACAGAGACATGAGACCAGTGATCTTCATGTTAGTGAGGACACAACAGCTGATTTTCCACCATCAGGCCAGTGTGAACTAAAGCTAACAATGTGTTGAGCTCAAGTGGGGCCAGTAGCCTCAGATCTCCAGCCTGAACCCAAAATCAAGCCGTGTTTCCACTGTGAGCCAGTAGCCCTGCATCGCTACTCTAAAACACTGCTTTAACAACATCACACAACCAGCACGGGAATGCTAACAGACTGAAAACTACATGACCATGACAGAAGTGGACCTCTAGTCTTTACTTTAAAGGGTCATGAAACCCCAAAACATATGAAGTGACATGTGGCCAAGTATGTTGACCCGTACTAGGAATTAGTGCTCTGCATTTAACCCATATATAAATATATATTTTTTAAATAATTACAGTCTTGCTCAAGAACTCCGGTCTGACGCACGTGGGTTCTCGCGTTATTTCCTTATCACTTCTCGCGTGTGTTTTGTTGTGAAACGTAGTTTGCAGGACCAGACAGAGCCGTCGGCCATTCTTCCTATTGTGAAGTCATGCAGTGTGAAACCCCCTGTCGCCGATCCATCGTGCAGTGTGAACACAGATGTTACTATGGTAACTTACCGAGAGGTTCAGTTTTGTCTTTTATTGGAACCGAAAACACCTGAGTTTCCCTTTTCTGGGGTTAACAAACTCTGAGTTTCCAACAAAACCCGCTTTCTGGAATACACCCCAGTTGATTCAGTGAACTGAAGCCTCTCCTCCATCGACATCCATTCAAAACTCTTCTCGTCTCCTTGCAGTTTATCACAGCGTTATGCTTTTAAGCCTTAAAGTGAAACACTAATGGATATAGACCTTTCTGCCATCTGATTAAAAACCGATAAGATCCCGACCACGCAAACTAATAGCAAAGTTAGTTAAGAATCAAATCTTTTTATTAAATAAAATGAAACTTTTCGAAGTCAAATTTTAAGTCTTTTTTTAAAGTAGTTTTAAGGTCAGAATAGACAAAGCAAACTGATGGGTTCAAAAATAGTGGAGTATGGTGCATTCATGTACTGGGAAGTTTGTAAATCATTATTACAACATCAGATGTGTTCAGGTCACCAATGTACCATTTCTACAGAACATTCAGTAACAACTTTATGGCAGTATTCGTGTTCTCATGTGCAGGACAACCACCCAATAAAGCATTACAATAATCTAACCTTGAGGTCATAAATGCATGGATTAACATTTCTGCATTTGACATTAAGAGCATAGGTCGTAATTTGGATATATTTTTGAGATGGAAAAATGCAGTTTTACAAATGCTAGAAACGTGGCTTTCAAAGGAAAGATTGCTATCAAATAGCATACCTAGGTTTCTAACTGATGACGAAGAATTGACAGAGCAGCCATCGAGTCTTATTACATGGGGAGGTTTTGGGTCCGATAATTGTTTTTTTCAGAAATTAGCAGTAAGAAATGACTTGTCATCCAGTTTTTTTTTTTTATATCGACTATGCATTCCGTTAGTTTTTCAAATTGATATGTTTCACCGGGCCACGAAGAAATATAGAGCTGAGTATCATCAGCATAACAGTGAAAGCCAACACAGTGTTTCCTGATGATCTCTCCCAGGGGTAACATGTAAAGCGTGAAAAGTAACGGCCCTAGTACTGAACCTTGAGGTACTCCATATTGCACTTGTGATTGATATGATACATCTTCATTCACTGCTACGAATTGATGGCGGTCGGATAAGTACGATTTGAACCATGCTAATGCACTTCCACTAATGCCAACAAAGTTTTCTAGTCTATTCAAAAGAATGTTGTGGTCAATAGTGTCGAACGCAGTGCTAAGATCCAGTAGCACTAATAGAGAGAGATACAACCAACGATCAGATGATAAGAGCAGGTAATTTGTAACGCTAATGAGAGCAGTCTCAGTACTATGGTACGGTCTAAATCCTGACTGGAAATCCTCAGATACCATTTTTCTCTAATTGTGAGGATACTACCTTTTCTAGTATCTTGGACAGAAAAGGGATATTCAAGATCGGTCTGTAATTAACTAGGTCTTTGGGGTCGAGTTGTTTTTTTTTTTTATATGAGGCTTCTAACAACGATTTGATTTCTAACAAAATTACTAGAGATTTTCAAATGGCAGTTTTACGTTTGAATCTGTATTGGAACTTCTGTCTTGTAGTTCCTTAAGGCCAATTCACACTGCACTGAAAGACAGTGATGATCACCAGATTATCCTACATCACTTCTCAGACATTCATTGCACAACCTGGCAAATGAACGCCGATCAATAGCGACAGACAAAGCAATGTGACTATACTCGACCAGCCGTCTGTTTGGTGTCTGTCAGTGTGTGTGTGTGTGTGTGTGTGTGAGAACTCACCTTTAAAGCACCAAATGACAAGATGGATAATGGATCCTTTCAGCCAAACACAAATAATTTAAATAAAGATCAGAGAAACGGTCAAAAAAAAAAAATTTTTTATAAACGTTTGAGGGGAGGGGGCACATTACTCCTGCTCCGTCTGAAATTGAATTGAAAAAGTCAAGCGAATCATATGCACAGCAGCAGATCTGAAAGTGAATCATATCACAGGACGAGCTAAACTCTGAACTACAGACAGACTCACGGTTTCTACTTTAGCAAACAAGAGTCTGCTGAATGAAAGAGCTGATAGAAAAGCTTGATACTGATGTTCTGCATAATCAATAATCTTACCTCGTTACGTGGCGGCGGTGGCAAGTTTGTGCTGGGGGTGGAGCTGGTGGTACATGGTGGCGGTGGCAAGTTTGTGCTGGGGGTGGAGCTGGTGGTACGTGGTGGCGGTGGCAAGTTTGTGCTGGGGGTGGAGCTGGTGGTACGTGGTGGCGGTGGCAAGTTTGTGCTGGGGGTGGAGCTGGTGGTACGTGGTGGCGGTGGCAAGTTTGTGCTGGGGGTGGAGCTGGTGGTACGTGGTGGCGGTGGCAAGTTTGTGCTGGGGGTGGAGCTGGTGGTACGTGGTGGCGGTGGCAAGTTTGTGCTGGGGGTGGAGCTGGTGGTACGTGGTGGCGGTGGCAAGTTTGTGCTGGGGGTGGAGCTGGTGGTACGTGGTGGCGGTGGCAAGTTTGTGCTGGGGGTGGAGCTGGTGGTACATGGTGGCGGTGGCAAGTTTGTGCTGGGGGTGGAGCTGGTGGTACGTGGTGGCGGTGGCAAGTTTGTGCTGGGGGTGGAGCTGGTGGTACATGGTGGCGGTGGCAAGTTGGTGCTGGTGGTATGTGGCGACAGTGGTGGCTTTTGTAACCGTGTGTACAATGTACTGCAGCTCGCATGTGTGCTCTGTGTTATTTCCCATCTTCAGTAGGTTGGTGTTCAGAGGCTGAGTGAGGGGTTAAAAGTACAAACACAACTTTCACAACACATTTTTACCACTTTTGCAGAAAACAAGTGCAGACACTGAACAAGGACGTATCTCTATAGTGCACTATCAAATGGAGTACTGGGTGTTCAACTGTGTGTGTGTGTGTGTGTGTGTGTATAACTGAGAGGTCGACGCGCTCTCTCTTTTTCCTCTTCGCCAATCAGGACAGCCAAGGCTGCTTGGACAGCTGCCTCCCTGGCCTCCCTTGGCAAGTTTGTGCTGGGGGTGGAGCTGGTGGTACATGGTGGCGGTGGCAAGTTGGTGCTGGTGGTATGTGGCGACAGTGGTGGCTTTTGTAACCGTGTGTACAATGTACTGCAGCTCGCATGTGTGCTCTGTGTTATTTCCCATCTTCAGTAGGTTGGTGTTCAGAGGCTGAGTGAGGGGTTAAAAGCACAAACACAACTTTCACAACACATTTTTACCACTTTTGCAGAAAACAAGTGCAGACACTGAACAAGGACGTATCTCTATAGTGCACTATCAAATGGAGTACTGGGTGTTCAACTGTGTGTGTGTGTGTGTGTGTGTATATACCTGAGAGGTCGATGCTCTCTTTTTCCTCTTCGCCAATCAGGACAGCCAAGGCTGCTTGGACAGCTGCCTCCCTGGCCTCCCTTTTGCTCGAGGAGCTCAGGGGGAGAAAGGAGCGGGCCCCAATCTTCACTTGGACAGTGAATCGGAGAGACAGAGACGTGATCTTCATGAGTGTGTGTGTATCTGGTATTTCACATTATGGAGAACAAATATCCCCACAAGGATAGTAATACCAGTACATTTTGCCCTTGTGGGCACATTTGTTTAGGCCCCCATGAGGAAACAAGCTTATAAAATCATACAAAAATGAAGTTTTTTGAAAATCTAAAAATTCAGAAAGTTTAGGGGTTCAGGTGTAGGGTGATTAGAATATATGGTTTATACAGTATAAAAACCTTTACACCTATTGAATGTCCCCATAATACATGGAAACACAACGTAATACCAGTACATTTTGCCCTTGTGGGCACATTTGTTTAGGCCCCCATGAGGAAACAAGCTTATAAAATCATACAAAAATGAAGTTTTTTGAAAATCTAAAAATTCAGAAAGTTTAGGGGTTCAGGTGTAGGGTGATAGAATATATGGTTTATACAGTATAAAAACCTTTACACCTATTGAATGTCCCCATAATACATGGAAACACAACGTGTGTGTGTGTGTACCTGTGTGTGTGTGTGTGGGGGGGGCGTTGGCTCTGTGTTCTCAAAATGGACTCGCTCTCCATGAGCTCTTGCATAATGCTGGAGGTCAGCGAGGGAATGCCTTAAGATATTATCAAGCAGCCATGGCTGTATCCTGCTGGTCCTTTAGAGCAGAGAGAAACTCTCCATTAGATCATGAGACACAGAAAATGAAGTGGATGGGAATAAATGTGCCGTAAGTCACACTAATTTGTAGCGAAATATTCTAGCAAATACACCGTTTAATTTTCAAAATAATGTCTTTATTATGTTGTATCATTGTTCAAATATGTTTGACACCACTGATCTACAGCTTCCCATTTCTCCTCTTTCTGTTCCTCTCAATCATCAGACTCTTTCAGTTCTTCTCTTACCTTCTCTGGCAGCAGCCCTCTTCTTTGCAGCTCTTTGAGAGCTGCCTCGGCCGCTGCCCATTTTAACCATAATTTTGTTATGGCCGACCTCCTCCGGGAACAGCTCCTCCCCCAGTTTAAACTGGCCTGTGAATCTAACAGAGAAAGATAAAGGAGAAAGATAGGAGTCCCTGCAGATCCAATGTAGATTCATCTGCTTTCTTGTGTCAATCATACCAATCACAGATAATAAAATCAGGCGAATCATGTTTTCAGACAGTTTGTACATAGAAATACGGCACTGTGTCATCAGCAAAGGGCTGATTTGATTCTTTTAGCTGCAGTTGGACTGTCATAATGCATTTTATTTGTAATGCGCTCTTCTTAAACCCAAAGCACAACAATTAAAACAACAAAACCGTTAATTAAAAACAACCTTAAATGTGTCTTAACCAGCATTTAAAGCATTTCTGATGGTAGAAGGAAAGGCATTCCATAGCTTGAGGGCTTTGAATGAAGAAGCTCTTTCTCCCACGACATGAAGGCTGATGAAGTAAAAGAGTGAGCAGAATGGAGAGAGTGTGGTGGACTGTAAGGACTAATAGGATCACAAAGATACACTGCTGCAGTTCCATGTTAAAATTAGAGCTTTAAAATCAATCCTAGCATTAACCGTGCAACTGTAACGTGTTCCTGAGGAGCAGTATGAGAAAGCACACGAGCAGCAGAAGTTTGAATATACTGTAGCCTGCTCCGAGAATTAGCTGCAAGGCCAGAGAACAAGGCATTACAATAAGCCAACCTAGTCGTAACGAAGACATGTACAAGCCTTTCTGCATCAGCAAAAGTGAGAAGAGGTCCAAGTCGAGCAATGTTCCTAAGGTGATAGAAGCCAGTTTCAGAATGCATTTTATATGTGCATCAAATGTTGATTGAGAATCAAAAATACCATGAAGTGGGAAATACCATGCTGGAATCCACAATCAAAACTGATCTGATAAGTCTTTTGAGTAACCACCACTGTACCAATCAGCATCACATCAGTTTTAGAGCCGTTCAGCCTCAGGAAGTTATTCTGCATCCAGTTCCTGATCTCATCTAGACACCTACTCAAAGTGATTCATGTGGAATGGACATCAGGGCTACTGGTGATGTAAATCTGAGTGTCATCCGCATAGCAGTTCTACACAAGACCATATTTCCTTCTCATCTGCCTAAGTGGATACATATTTACACTAAATAAAATTGGGCCCAACAATGAAACCTGAGGAACTCCGTCGAACAGGCACGTATCAGATTTATGATTATCCAAGCTAACAAAATGGGCACAATCGGTTAAATAAGATTTAAACCAGCCGAACACCGTTCCGAAAAGACCTTACCAATTATTCAGCCTGTCCAGCAGAACAGAATGGCATATGGTGTCAAAAGCAGTACTAAGGTCTAACAAGACCAAGATACTGCATGCATCAGCTGCAATAAGGAGATCATTTACAACCCTCACTACAGCGGTCTCAGTATTATGCCCTTAGAAATGAGAAATCCCACAACCAGCTGACTTCGGGGCTGGTGTAAAAGCAGCTATTTTTAATTCTGACATGTTGCTGGTTCTCAGAATCAAAGCATCAGTGTCTGGGTGATTGGTAGTGTGATTTAATACAGTGTCACTTCTAGTCACCTCATCTGGACAAATCACTTGAATGAATGCAAGTGAAGTCAGTCTTCTTTAGGGGTTTTTAGTGTGGGCGGCATGAGAACATGTCAGGAAAGGTAGAATAATAATTATTGATTACTAATTTGAATCAATACTTTATAATGAAAACAATACCTGAAAAATGAAAAGCAGCAGGTTTTTGCGATCAGGAGTGTGTGTGTACCTGACAGGATAGACCTCTAGTCTTTACTTTAAAGGGTCATGAAACCCCAAAACATATGCTTTGTCAGCGATCGTTAGATTTCAAAATCCCAGTCAGATCACAATCGGAAGTGATTTCTGACACTTGCTGGTGTCTGAAAGGGAGTTTTGAACTGAAGTTTGATTTTAAATGCCTTTTCATCTTTAACCTGACCGCTGGCCCCGAGGAGACTCGATCAAACCCCAGAAGTGACAAAACACGAGCGGCCCGACACACACCAAACTCAACTTCTCATGTGAGAGGAGAACTCTGAATTCAGAGGAAATAACGTTGCTCATTCCAGGTAACCCTTTGATTAAAAGGGGAGCACTGCTCAAACTACCACGAGGACAGCCCATGGAGCGAGGAATCCAACTCCTCAGAGAGGATTAACGCTCGAAAGAAAGCACCATACTCGCAATAACCCTCACTGGTGAGGGGAGCGATGCTTCCAGACTGTGTCGACAGAGACACACTAGTTGAGTGGAGCCCAAGGAACCGGGGTCTAACCAACTCAGAAGAAGGGAACGAAGTCAATAACGCGTAAGCCTTACCATACACAATTTTAGAAAAGTGGGCAAAGCATAACGTGCACACTTACCACTTATGTGGATTTTTCCTCAAAACTGAGACAGGCTAGGACCCCTGGGTTGTTCGGGCTCAGACCTGGACTTCTATCCCGGTCTTTCAGCCGGTCAACCTGATATGCTTGGAGCATCACCATCGTGTGCAATGAAGCGACAGCCTGACCAGCTGCTGCTGCGTATGCCCTGGCATCCGAGCGAGATGTCAAGGAGGGGAGTCTTAGAGGACGTCTCACCCATAGAGAGATAGCTGGCCAGCGTCTCTCTATAGGGGCATCTTCTCATAACCGCTTTTGCACATCGCCTCGATGTTGACATAACTTGTACACTGGAATCGATGGATGCGTGAGGAAAAAACGGCCTCTTCCATTCCTTCTCAATCTTTGTGAAGAAAGGAAGGCTCACCTGAGCTGGAGAGTTATGGCCAGAAAAATAACGTTCATCGGGATATTTCGCGACGTCACTATCTTCACGGCAAGTAAAGCCTCGCCGTGGCGCGATCCATAATTTCCAAACTCATCGTATGCAGGGCAGGAGGATTGGGATGGCTCAGCCTCAGCTTCTTTGCCCTCCTCAGCTATTTCCTGCTTTTGCTGGGCTGATCCCAGCAGAGCACTGGCCCCTGAATCAGACAATGTTAATGAAATCACATCATCCTCCAGCGGCTCACTCTCGTGCACAGCCGACGATCGCAAAAGGGAAACCCCCCTTCAAACTCAACGGCCAGATCCACCTGCGATCCCCACAAGCTCATTCCCTTCCGTGCCTCAGCAGTGGTGGGTCCTGAATCGCGGGAAGCAGATGGCTGCCCCTCTTTCCTCAAAGAGAGACAAACGAGAGCTGAGCTTTTTTCCTTGGAAAAAAAACCGCTCGCAGTGCACGCCGCTTGCCCCCTCGGAGACATCGC